TTGTATCAACTTGCCACTTACTCGCAATGTCCCAAATTACAGATCCAATTGTCATAACAATCAGATTAATAGTGACGAGTTCTAAAATAACTTTTTGTTTCTAGATAAACAAAAATGTAGTTGATAACCATATAGAATCATAGTTTTTATCAATTAGGTATGGGATTTATTAAAATTATAGTAAATAAAGAAAACTAATAATTTCAATGTAATTCCTCCAAAATGTCTTATCCCTAATAGTTAGCTCAAAACAAGTTAAATTGTTTTAAAAATTGTATGGTGTACAGAAAATGCAAAAAAAGAAATGTTTTTTCTGATGCATTTGAAAGCACCTGGGAATTTTAAATTTTTACCTGTCATCCAACTAGATTCATTTTCCTTTCAGAAAATATACTGAAGTCTAAACTAGTTATGTGTTTCTTTGCAATTTAAATATGTTGAGGCCCTTTGTGTTATTCAAATTGGATTGTTTCTCAGCAAAATTGTATTGCCTATAAAATTAAAACTTTGTTAAAAATATGTCAGTGCACCATTTGTTTCTCTCTTTGAATAACGAGCAACATGCAAGTGTGAGTACAGTAGATCAAAATTTGTACTGTTAGCTTTAATATTAGAGTTATATGACATAATATTATAATCAAACTTAAAAGCAAAGATATTTTTCAAGGTATCTTATACTATAAGGGATTCTCAAACTGTGGTACGCGTACCCCTTGGGGGTACTCAAAATTTTTTACGGGGTACAAGTCTAGCCAACCAACCTTTAAATTAAAATAGAGCAAAAAATTCTAAAATCCAAGGTAACATTTGTGAATTTTAAATTAAAATGGCGTATCTAACTGTTTCATTCGTCATTGATTGAGTAAGCGTGGCTATCGTTAAACCAAGTAGAGTAGGAGACAGTAGAATACCTATATAATTATAAAAACGCGACGTTAAGCTAGGTGTCATGCGCGTGGCACGTCTACGCTCAGATATAAAATCGACACGCGTGTGTTTTTTATATTTTTATATATATATTTTTGTTTAGTAACTAAGAAGGGGTACCCAAACAATTTTATTGTTAAAAAGGGGTACAGTGTTTATAAAAGTTTGAGAATCCTATAAGGCTTATAGAGAAGCACTAAGCATTTATTTGTATTTTATTTTTAAAACAAGTTATGGATATTTTAATACTGAATGATATAATTATTTATTTATTAATTTATTTTGACTAAACAGGCTGAGCCCTTTCGATATACAAATTTATGTCCACGCACACAATTACATATTATACAATGCGTGTCCCGTGAACAGGTGGGTATGTTAGTTAGTAAAATAATACAGTAAAATAGCTTTAAAAAATAAACCTATTAACAATATTCTCACCTTTAAGTTTCATAACTCGCTCCAATATGGTATGTATATAATTATCTTCAAGAAAGTCAACGTCTGAAAATTGTGAACACATTGGCTTGACTTCCTAGTTCCTTGTATGTGGTACATCATATATTTCAGTTTTGAAAACCATAATAAGTATAATCCACTGTATGAACTAAAAACGATAAACCAATAAGTAACTTTTGGCTTTGGCAAACATTTAAAATAGGAACTTGAGTAATATACTTATATAAGTGTGTGTGTGAATTAGACATTATTAAGTTTCTAAGGCTTTTCTGAGTGAATTAAAATCATCGACTGTAACGTCTCCAAATCCTTTATTTGTCTGTTCATTTTCTTCAAACTCATCGTTGGAGAAATATAATTTTCTGAAAATATAAAGTTGTAAAAAATATCTGAATACCTATCTAATTAATATTAAAATAATTCAATATTAAAAGATTTTACCTCTTAGATGATTTACTAGTCGTGCTCAGAGTGGTACCAGTGTTGCTATAAATTATTAAAATTTATTTTATATTGTTTATTTTACTCCTCTAAACAGACATGCGGTTTGGATTATGTTTTGTGACAGTCTCTGGCCATAATAATATCTACTATATACTGAGCTTTGTTTATAATTACTGATTGTGAAATGATTACCGCAGATTTTGCTCCAGATAGAAATTGGGTAATCATTGAATTTGAAAATTTATTTCCTTCAATTTTCATTTTTTGGAAATCTATATTTGTGAACAAATTACACTGGCACCATATTATTAAGAAATATAATCAGTACAACTAGAAAATAATACTTACAAATTAAAATTAATGTTATGTGGCGAGGCGATACTTTGGATGTTTTACTAAAAAGAATACACTTATGCATGGCAACTTTTTACTAAAACGTATGAATACAATACTGTACGAACGCATAGTAGTCTGTATTTACTATTTACTATTTCCGTTAAAATTTCAAATACCTAATCGAATGATTCAAATGATTCAATTAAAGTCGGCGAATACAAAAATGATATTATGTTGTTGTTATTCATTTGATAACAATTATTACCATAGACCTATTAACTTATAGGTTAACATACGAATTATGTTATAGCCTTCGCAAGTTGTAAAAAGTTGGGAGTTCTTTTTTATTCTTCTAAAAATTTGGCTTGCTATTAGAAACTACCTATCGAACATAGTGCTCTTCCATGACTGTTTTAGTAGGTACTTGATGATAATTCGTAAAATATGGAAACTAGCCAAGTCAGACCTTAGGCTTCAAAACATTATCCTAAGTGATAAGAAGAAATTATATTTCATGTTGTTATAAATAAATTTCAGGACTGACCATTGAACTTGGCGTCCATTTAGATCTCACTTCTTTTGTCGTTGAAGTCAACAATCAAAGCATATATTACATAATTGAACTTGGCTATCATTTTACATATATGTTTTGTTGGTCAATCTTAATAAAGTAAGTGTTGCTTATTTAACACTACAATTATGTAATAGTTTTATTTTTTTTTTTGTTATGTCATGTTAATTTACATACATTTATTTGGTTCAATATGTATACAATATACATACACTATTGGTAATAATTAAATCGTATATTTTACAGTGCTAATGATGATTATGTATTTGAAAATAAATAACCTACCTACTCGTGTTACAGTTTTTAACCATCATGAAAACCAGAAGAATATTGTTGTCAGTCCCACTACATATTGGTTAAAGTATGTACTTTAGATAAATATTTTGCAATTGTTTTTATTTATTATTTTAATTACAATTTAGATATAATAATGATAATATATTTTGTAATACTATTTTTTTTAGTTCAGTCGACAACACTTCTTATGATATTGTGGCTAATGACTTAAATGCATTAAACAATATTTCTCCATCAGCAGCTATTTACACTAACCATGATAGTAATTATTATTCCACTTAAAACACAGAAACTAGTCACGGTGAACAAAATAGACCTGTTCGTAAAAAGTTTGTACTATATTAATTATTATTTAGTAATTCTATAATAATAAATTCTTAAAAATATTATTTCTAATCACGGTTTTTTTTTTTGTCTAGGATATTTAGTTTTACTGGAAGTGAAAACGAGGAGAACTCGAAAAAGTCGTCATTGAACAAGAGCAGTGGCTTGGCGAATGGGGTTTTATGAAGCTTAGGCGTCATGGTGGATTTTTTGGTTGGGGTTGGGTGGTTGGTACATTATGGTAATCAATCACATACAACAAAAATTAAAATATTTACAGTCAAATAATAATTATATGTACTAAATATTCTATGTAGGTGATAAAGAGGGGGTAGGTACTGAAATATATGCTGGGCATCAAGATTTAACCAGAGTATACCTTTACTTTACAATATTTAAATAGCTTATAAATTATTATTGCATTTATATTTTTGTTGATGTTTAGATTCTTGGTTAAAATTCATAACTCATATGCAGGGCTTGTAAGTTCATGCATTTTGTATATCAATCTTACTAAGATGTATTTAATGCTAGATGAAATAGAAATTAATTTCAATGGTTATACGATGGCACGATGGTTAAGTATGTGAAGTTTAATAGGTTTATTCACTGGTATTCATCGGTTTTTATATTTTTTAGGGCATATTACTCATAATTTTAATTTTAATATTACTGTATTGATATTATTATATTAACATACAGTTTTTATTAGGCTTCTTCAACGATATTGATATTTTGATACGATATCGATATCGCAAACTTTCATAATCTTAATATATCGATATACCCCGGCTATTGGGTATTTACTATTTGTGTTAAAAATAGCACAGGATAACAGAAAAATAAATAATTAATAGAGATAGCGCGATATCGCACACAATCAAAACGATATCGATATTCAAAATTATATCGTTGAAGAAGCCTAAGTCAATTTTATATGTTATGTTTTGTTGTCATAGGAGCACAATATCCACCTCAAAGATGTACAATGTCACCGTCTCCACCTCCAGAGAAGAAACCAGAAAAACGTAAGCCTGGAAGACCTCCTGGCAGACTTGCAGGATCAAAAAAGCAGCATGTTCAAATACAACCTGTCGATTTGCAATTAGAAAATGATGGAACTTTGTATGGTTCAATTAGAAGTGGTCGTATTTCTTTACAGGTAAATTACATAAGCTTGTGTAATGCTTTAAGATAGAATGATAATAATTTTTAAATACCATACAATTGTTTATAATAATGAAATACCAGGAAACTTTTTTTGAATAGTTAGTTTAAATTTTAAAGTGTACCCAATCATTGGCTACGTCATTGTGATAAATGTGTTTAATTTTAAACTAATGATACATTATTAATTATACGATTTTAGTTTATGGAAACAAACTTCTATTAAAAACTGATATTGATTAAATATTCCCCTCTTTCCATTGTTTTTTTTAGTTTATCCCATTATTCAGAAATATATATTTCTAAATACTGTACATTTTCTGTCTTTAACCTCACAATGTACCTACTAGAACAAATTTGAAATCACCTTACATTTTGAACATTATAGTATTTTTTCAACTTCAAAAAGTGTCATAGTGTCATCCACTCATAGACGAGCATGCAGCTATTATTAGAAAAATGACTGAAGAATTTGATGAAGTAAAATAATTTTCATAACTTTTATTATTTTTTTGTATTTATACATTCTTATACTGCTTGTTTCTTTTTAGGAAAGTGGAGATATCTCTTATTATGAGTGGAATTCAATGGAAAAAATTTCGATCAAATTTTTGTGATTTTGTTGGTCACCTTGTAAAACAGTGCCAATATTCTATCATATATGATCAATATTTAATGGATAACATGATATCACTTTTAACAGGTTTATCAGAATCCCAAGTTCGAGCATTTAGACATACAGCTACACTTGCAGGTAATTTATTGTCTACTCCAATTAATTATAAAATATATTATACTCAATTTTCATTAAATTTCAGCCATGTTGATGTCGCATTAATTGTGTCTGTTAATTTGGATAATACTCAACGTCAATATGAAGCTGAGCGTCAAAAAGCTAGAGATAAAAGAACAAGTGATCGTTTAGAATCATTAATGGCTATACGACAAGAACTTGAAGAAAATATGGATGAAATTAAAAATATGTTGACATATATGTTCAAATCTGTATTTGTTCACAGATACAGGTTAGTAAAAATAAAATAAAGTTCAAACAAGTTTGCTAAAATATATAATTACAGGGATACCTTACCAGAAATTAGAGCAATATGTATGGCAGAAATTGGAGTTTGGATGAAAAAATTTCCTTCAACATTTTTTGGATGACTCGTATTTAAAGTATATTGGTTGGACATTGCATGATAAAGTTGGTGAAGTACGGTTAAAATGTTTACAGGTAATATTGTATAATTCTATATCTCAAATACAAGCGTTGCCTATAAGAGATAGATAAATTATTTATACTGTAAATTTAAAACATTAATTTGTTCTACATTTATTTTCATTCAATAAATAAAAGCCAGGATGTTTAAAAAAATGTAAAACTGACTAAAATGTTATTATTTTTTTGTTTTTGTAGGCCTTGCAACCTTTATATGCTTCTGAAGAATTAAAAAGTAAATTGGAACTTTTCACATGTAAATTTAAGGATAGAATCGTGGCAATGAAATTAGATAAAGAATACGATGTTGCAGTTGAAGCTGTCAGATTAGTCATCAGTATTTTAAAGTAAATAAAATATTTAGTTTTTACATTTACTTTTATTTTAATTATCATACATTTAATAACTAAATTTTTTTTTTTTTGTAATATAGACATCATCGCGATATCTTATCAGATAAAGACTGTGAACATGTTTATGAACTTGTTACTCCTCACATTGTGCAGTTGCTCAAGCTGCTGGAGAGTTTTTAAATGAACGTTTATTTAAACCAGAAGAAGATACAAAAACTGTGAGAACAAAACGAGGAAAAAAACGTTTACCAAACACACCTTTGATACGAGATTTAGTTCAGTTCTTCATTGAATCAGAAGTAAGATTTGGTGAAAAATCAAAATTATTTTATATATGTTTTAATGTTTAACATTTTTTAGTTGCATGAACATGGAGCCTATTTGGTTGATTCGCTGATCGATTCTAATGAAATGATGAAAGATTGGGAATGTATGACTGATTTATTGTTAGAAGAGCCTGGTTTAAGTGAAGAGAGAATGGATGATAGACAAGAAACGAGTTTGATTGAATTGATGGTGTGTTGTATTAAACAAGCGGCAACTGGAGAAGCACCTGTTGGGCGAGGACCAAATAGAAAGGTAGATAGTTTATTATTTAAAAAATGATTAAATCTTTTTTCTACGTTTTTATATCAAACACCCCATCAAATAAAATATATTTTTATTACAATTAAAATTACTTCAATTTTTAATATTATAAAGTAAATACATATTTTTATTTTATTAAATGTATATCATTCAAAGTTTAAAATATAATATTGAAATCTATTTTAATAAAATATAAATATAAACTAAACCTTATAAGTTAATTTTTTTCATGATTGGATAAAATGTTTATGTATTGAGAATTTGAAACTATATTTTTAATTGATATATTATTTTAAATAGATGATGTCAGTAAAAGAAATTAAACAAGTTCAAGATGATAAGCAGCGGTTGACTGAACATTTTATAAAAGTGTTACCCCCATTAATTGATAAATATAGAGCAGATGCTGACAAACTTATTAATTTGTTATCTATACCTCAATATTTTGATTTGGATATTCATACAACATCTAGACAAGAATCTGTAAGTAAATTTATATGAATAACTTTCTTTCCTAAAATCTTCATATTTTATTAAGTGAACTTTATTGTTTTATACATTTTATTGTTACTTTAGAATTTAGATTTATTACTTAAAAAAATACACTTGGTAACTGACAAACATCAAAACGACGAAGTTCTTGAAACTTGTGCCAAAACTTTAGAAATTCTTTGTTCAAAAAACAATTCTACATTAGCTACCAGGTGTAGTGTTCAAAAAAGTACACTAATGGACACCATTACTAATAAACACAGAGAATCTATGGACGATTGGAACAATCTAATTGAAGGAGTAAATAAATAAATAAATATATTATTATTTTCATAAAATATTGAACCATTATTTTTAATGATATTTAATATTTATTCTACAACAAACATTATTTTAGAATGAAAAACCTGACGATGATGAAATCTACAATGTGGTAAATAGTATGAAAAAGATTTCTATACTTTATTCATGCCATAACTTAGGGCCTTGGAATTTGTGGGATATAATTTTCAAAGACTTAAAAATGGCCCATGAAGGTTCAAAACCACTACCAGAAGAAGTAATTTAATATTTATGCAAATTTTAAATTTAATTATTTATTTATTTATTTATTTTTTTTTTATTTATTGAACAAACATAATATATTTACAATCTGTATTTACATGTGATACAATAAGTAAATGTGATGACGATTTGGTTAACAGGAGGGGGAAGTCACCCAGTGGCGGCACCTCGTTAAAAATTATTTATTTTATGATTTTTTTACTTGTTATGAAAGGCTATCAAATATAGCATTGCTGCGTGTATGTTTGCTACAATGTGGGAATTACACAGTGTTGAAAATGTTTTGGAAAATGGACGCAACGAAGATATAGAAGAACAAGTGGCGCAAGTTAAGACTAAGCTCTTTGATTTCATGGATGTTCTTCGAGGAATTTTGGCACATTCTACTAATCCTTTATTCAAGGAAGAGGTACTTTTCTTATATTATCTTCTGAGAACCATAGAGCATTTATTTTTAATAAATATTGTTTATATAGGCTTATATATCAATATTTATTTATTTATTTATTTATTTATTTAATATGTGACTTACTTGTCGTTTTTTGTAATCAATTGGGTGTTAAACATTATCCAGTTCTGGGAAATCTCATTTATGACTCTGACAAAGAACTTCAAGATTTATTGAATAATTTTATTCAAAAAAATGTGTTTGTTTATGAAGAAGAAGGTGATTTATATATTAGATGTTCTTAAATGTATTGAATTTTGAACTATATACCTAGACTAATAAATCCAAATTAATAAACAGGTGTTCAAGATGAACATTCAAAAATTGAAGAACTACATGAAAGAAGCAACTTTTTAGCATCTTATTGTAAATTAATTGTGTATGGGATGATTCCGGTTACTTGCGCAGCAGATATCTTTAAGCATTATGTCAAAGTATGAATTGAAATAGTATGAAATTAATAAATATGAACTGATTATTAATTATCTTTTTTATTAATACTTAGTCATATAATGAATATGGAGATATTATTAAGACTACAATTGGAAAGGCCCGTGAAATTAATAAAGTAATTTGTGCCAGAACTATGGTTGTCAGTTTAATCACATCATTTAGAGAACAACAAATCAACTGTGGCACGTTCCGTATCTCAAGATCTTCTCAAGAGTTTAGCAGTTTAAAGGTATAGTTTAAACTTTAACTAGAATTAACATTACTAAATTAAGTTGATTGAATACTACAATTTTTTTTTATGTTAGGAATTGGCCAAAAGATTTGCTTTATCATTTGAATTGGATGCATTAAAAAATCGTGAAGCTATGGCAGCTTTACATCGTGAAGGTGTTTTATTCGCTGTAGGTACTGATGAAGGAATTGCTCAAGATGATCCATCGGTACCACCTCCACATGTTGCATTTTTGGAGATATTAGCAGAATTCACCAACAAACTTCTTAAACAAGATAAACGCATTGTGTATGTATATCTTGAATTTGTTCAATTCAATAATTACTTATCCTAACTGTTGTTTATTTTTTTAGTCTTAACTATTTGGATAAACACATAACATCAGCAGTTCCATCAAGTCGTAGTGAAGATTGGCAGCCTTGGGTCATTTATAGAAACAGCCTAATGCATGGTGATGCTGAATCTTGACCAGTAACTTCACGGCGAGCATACACACGTAGAAACAAAAAAGAAACTTGTAAATAAACCATTTAAATATATAAAATAAAAAAAAAATTCATAACTATTTTCAAAATTTATTTTTTAGATGACGATGATGATGATGAAGGGTCAGATCAAGATTTTGGGTAATAAAAAAATTACTGTTTTAATTAAGTTGTACATTTTATATACCTATATAAATTACTTTTAAATGTATATAAACAATGCATGCATTTTTGATAAATGTGATTGATAATAATTATAATAATTTATATTTTGGCTATGTGTTTTAGTTATTTTTTATTAAATTAAATGCATGGAAAATATTATTTTCAATATGCATGAAATTTAGTTTGGGATTTTAAGATATATATATAATATATTTTTAAATATTATATTTTGACAATATCTTAATTTAATCAACATTATGGAGAAAAACGTTGACCTATATTATAATAATTTATATGAATAGTTAATTTTCAAGATTTACCCTTATACCTTAAATTATAATATGGTAAGTAATAAAATAATAATTTTTATGTAACTCAAATATTTCATAATAAATATATTATGAAAATATAAAATGTTGTATATTAATTTTATTTAGTTTATTGAGCTTTGTTATATAATTTTATTAGATAAATACATGCAAAAACTTATATTCATACCACTAAACTCACTAGGTAGTTTGAATCACACAATTGATTAAACCTTTTATTTTATCAATGTTTACTACTTTTTGATACTCACAGAACTCCAAGTATACAGAATGAAGCACCATTAAAGAAAAGGAAATCAAAGATTATTAAGTAAGTTTATATGAACCCATATCCTCTTCAGTACTTGTTATTTAAAATATATAATATATTGTTATTCTTCATTTAAATCAATAAGATCACAAGATAACCGCTCTGAATTGAACTCTGATGAAACTAATTGGTCGGACAGTACTGTAGCTGGTGGCTCTCGTCCAACACGTCAATGCATAAATCGGTCAATACCCTATCGTTATATTCAAGAAGACGATGATTAATGAAGCATAATAATTTAACAGTTATAAACTCAACTCACTTTTTGTTTAAGATGATTTCTTTGTTTTTTGAAATCTTAACAATATAATGTATGAAACGAGCTATCTATATTTAATTTTATTGCAATTAATAATTTTTTCAAACTACAAATATTTTATTTCTATATTAAATGGTACTGTCTATTCATGGTAAGCTACAGTTTGTTATACATTAATTTCCTCAATAAAATGATAACAAATGATATGATATTTTGACATTTCTTAAATGAACAATATATAATTTTAAAATCTATCGATTGTGTCCAACACTAAAGATGTATAGATACTTTTTTTTATTGAAATAATACGGAAAAATTAAAATTTAATGAAAAGCCCAATAATTTATACTTTTTCACTTTATTAAATGTATGAGAATTGTTGCTATGTCAAATTATTAAAAATATGAACAGATAATTCTTGCTATTCCAAAAATTGCATTTGATGTCTTCATTTTTTAATCCACTTATTTTTAATGTATAGTTTTAGATTTTGAGTCCATATGAATGCATATTTCTGAACTTTTAAAGGATTATTTTGCCAGTTTTTAGCGCATAACTGCATGCTTATTTAATAATTTTTGGGGCTTGAACTTAAAAGCCCTGCTTATATGACACAATGTAAATATCAATATTTAATTTAAGTTAGGTACAATTTAAAATTATAATAAAACTTGTGTCCAATACGTCTATACTACATACTTAACTATACAGAAATACAAATTGTTTTATTCCTTTTAACACTGTCTTTATTTTTGTAGCATTGTATCATACCATAGAACTTATATATTATATTCAGTACCTATGATACGGTCTATTGAAAAATCGTATGTTCATTTACAGAAATATTATTATAAATAGTTGCCTGTAGGCTGTAGCCTAAATGGAAACTTTTTCCATTTGGAACTGACGACAAGACGCCGTGAGATCTGCTTTTGCATTACTTACACGGTTTTAGATAAAACTAAAACTGCTTCCTAGAGTTGTACATAAACACTGAACCAGGTATATAGTTTAATAATGGTGCACAAAAACAATAACCTGTGTTGTAGCTGAAATGCCTATCCAAAGCGCCGTGTTTTTAATTTTGTATTTAAAAAAATGTTGTAAAACTATTAATATAATATTATGATTTACGGAAAAATGATCCTAATGGAAAAACTAAATAACAGTAACGCCTTGGGGCACCTGCGGGATATCAATGATCAAGTCTATATAAAAAATTCAACAAGAGTTAAATTCCTAAGAAAAAAATTGAAGGGGAGTTTTGGCGCCCGCAGTCAAATGCATTTTAGAAAATAATATACAATAAGTACACATATCAATGAGTTGAAACTATAATCTTCAGATTCATAAACAGAAAAAACAGTTTATAATGATTAACTAGCTCGTTATAGAATGTCAATACAGAGTACACATGCAGATTATCAATATTCAAGTCTATAAAAGAAATGTAAATAGAGTGAAATTCCTAAAAAAAAAAAACTTAAGGGGAGTGTTTGCGCCTGCAGGAAAATACATTTTAGAAAACAATAAAAAAATTTAGAAAAAAATTAAACAGTAAGAACCTCAGTAGGAACACAGATTAAAGAGTTCAAACTACAATCTCCAGAATCTTAATAAAACTATTCATAATACATAGTTTATTAAAGAAAGTATATTCATAGAGTACCTGTAAACAAATGCATTAAAGCAAATTAAAAAAAAACATTTTGAAAAAATTATTCAATAATAACACGTCATATTAAAGAGTTCAAACTACAATCTCCAGAATCTTACACAGAAAAAACAATTCACGATGATTACCTAGCTTGTTTTAGAATGTCAATACAGAGGGCACCTGCAGGTTGTCAATATTCAAGTCTGTGCGAAAAATTTCAACTAGACTCAAATTCCTAAAAAAATAATGAAAGGGGAGTGTTGGCGCCCGCAGGCAAATGCATTTTATAAAAAACAAAAAAAAATTTAGTACAAATTATACAGTAGGAACACACATTAAAGAGTTCAATCTTAAATGTCCAGAATCTTAAACAGAAAAACAACTAACGATGATTAGCTCATTAAAGAATGATAATACAGATTGCACCTGCAGGTAATCAATAAACAAGTCTGTGCAAAAAATTCAACTAATCAAATTCCTAAAAAAAATAGAAGTGGAGTGTTGGCGCCCACAGGCGAATGCATTTTAGAAAACAAAAAAAAAAAAAAAATATACAATGGTAAGACGTCATATTAAAGAGTTCAAACTACAATCTCCAGATTCTTGAACGGAAAAAACACTTCACAATGATTACCTAGCTCATTTTTGAATGTCAATACAGAGGGAAAATGGAGGTTATCAATATTCAAGTCTATAGAAGGAATGTAACTAGAGTTAAATTCCTAAAAAAAAATTGAAGGGGAGGGTTGGCACTTGGCGCCCGCAGTCAAATGCATTTTAGAAAAATAAAAAGGTGGATTAATATAACCAATTTATACAAAATCCTATCCTAACATCATAACCGTACTAAAATCTGACGAATAAAAAAAAAAAACCCTTTGTAAATTAACCTATATTCTTCCCAGAGGTCTAATATACCCGCAAACATTAATTTATATATCTAAGTACCTATATAAATACACAGACTATAACTATACAGACCAAACTCTGAAACTACTTATCAGATATTATTGTATAAATTATATATATGTATAAAAAATAATAATACAAATCAACAATCATGACCGATTAACCGATAGCAACCAATATAATATATTACTGCACAGGTAGATTTTCCTAAAAAGTTCATTCATATAAAATACTCTTTCGTTTTAAAAAAAAATCAAGAAGATCTAATAAGTAGTTCCAGAGTTAAGCCTGTACAGAGATTTTCATTTAAATCTAAAAATCTTAAATCTTAAATAGGTATTCATTTTAATCTACAAATGCATTAAGATCATTAGATCTATATACACACGAAATGTATGATCTGGATAAAGTAGACTAATGCATTCAAGTTCGACGTGACCAGCAAAGTACTCGCCATCTATGCTCATCAAATGTTTAAAATAAGTGTAAACATAGGTGCGTATATAATGTATTTAAAATATAAATGTTAATAATTGTTTTAAATACTTACAACCCAAGGTGTTCCAAGGACCAAGGTGTATAGTGCATTGTATAATAATTAATGAAAAAATGTAGGTACCCATACGTATTAAACTTAGAGCGGTGTACTGTTCGGGCACACGTATTTTGTACATTGTGCGTTAAATGTGATAATTTGAAAACAATTTCTTAAAACTACTAAAATATTTTCTCTGTTGTAGCTGAATTGCCTATACAATGCGCCGTGTTAACAAAATTTTGTATTTCATTTTTTTTCAAATATACTAAAACTATATTATTATAATATTATTATTTATGATTTACATTAAAAATGAACAAAATGGCATAAATAAAGAACAGTAACGTCTTAACCATGCTGAGTGTGCTGAGTCTAAACTAGGTATACACATTTTAGAAAACTGGATAACCTATATTCTTCCCAGAGGTACAATCTACCCACAAACATTAATTCATGTATCTAACTATATAAATACACAGACTATAACTAAACAGACTTAACTCTGAAACTACTTAGCAGATATAATTGTATATATATATATATATACAGGGTGATCCATTTAAGTGGGTACACTAATTATCTCGAAAAGTATTAACTTTTTTTTTTTTAAACTTCTAGGTTTATGTTTTTCTAAAACCGTATAATATTTTAATTTTTTTCACCCTTATATTTATTAGTGAAACCACTAACAACTTTTGATTTTCAAATGGTAACATATAATAAAAATATCATGAATTAATAATACCATTTTTATTGTGAATTTACTCGTTAACATTTTTATTTTTCGATGATTCGTTTGCGAGATACAGCTCCTCAAAATATTGGTGGTTTTCAAAATGTTTTCAATAATTGTAAAGACCAGGAGCTAATCATAAATTTGATATCGTTGAACCCAAGGTGACAAAATAAATAACAATTAATTATAGATTACCATTGTACTTTGAACCATAATCATTTATTAACTTATCGACTAATTGGACATACCGAATTACCAAAGAATGATAAATAAAAACTGGAAATATATTATGACAAATTTATTTTAATCACAATTTCACAGATAATTATTTAAAAATTAAAATGGTATCACTACATAATTATATCTTATAACCACTAATGACTAATATACCTTGATAAGTCCGTGACTGGTAATATGATTATAATATTATGCAGAAAGTAAATAATAAATACCCATATTTAAGTGATAATGCACAATTTTATTGTCTATCAATTATCATAAATAATATTGTTCTGTGATATTGTGAATGATATGAATGTTGTATGATAATAGTAGAAAATGAAATACAGTAATCTGTAATACTATAATAGGTATTATAATTTTACAGCACTATTTAAGAATTTAATTAATTAATTACCTATCTAAAATCGTGTTCTACAGTAAGTTACACTATTTGAAAATCTTATAACTTTTTTTTTTATTGTACAAAAACTAATATCAAATTGTAGTGATATTATTTGATTAACAATCAAATCGGAATCCCAAGAGTCCAAGACCATTAATTAATAAGGATTTGAAAGAAAAAATGTATGAAGATCCAACTACATAAAATTCTTGGTTTATTTATTTTTAATATGTGTTCAAAATGTTGACCATTTTGTGACATACAAAATGACATACAAAAGACATTTTCAGTTGTACATTTTTTCATAATATCAGCTGGTATATTTGAACAGACTTCTGTAATTTTTTTTATCAGCTCATTTTTACTGGATGGCATTATATCATAAACAGCATTCTTCACAAATCCCCCCCCCCCCCAAAAAAAAAAGTGGGTAAGTGGATGTCGCTCTGCTGTACTGTAGGTTACAAGTGGGTCACTGTATAATGGATGGTATTATATTT